AGCCACATGGGAAGCATGTCTGATTCCTCTCTAATCTCATCTTATGTACCTTTTCATTGTCTTAAGCTAGAACCACGACAGCTGTGTTTCTTGGTTTTCTGAATCCTCGTGTATCATCAAGCCTCAAGGTGGTCCTGGACACCACCTTACTGCCCAGATAAAACCGTATTTAAAATTGTAAAGGAAGAAGGGAAAAGTACTAGTACAGAATTTGCTGTTTACCCTTAGAGTAGTAGCAACCACAGGGCCTACACAGGTCTACACCAGGTCCTCTGCATATATGCTTTCAGTGTAGTACTTTTGTGAGACTCCTGAATGTGCAAATGAGTAGGTCATTGATTCTTGTGTCTTCTCTTGGGGCTCTTTTATTTTTCTGTTGACTTCCCTTGTCCAACTTGGATATGATAGTTTTTGTTTTATTTTATTACATTTCATTCTTATCATCAAGAATCCTGTTCTTTTCTAACAGGAGACAGAAAGGGAGTGGATCGGAATGGCAGAGAAGGCAAGAAGAACTGGGAGTAGTAGAGGGAGGGGAAACTATGCAGATTCTATTTTATGAGAAAAGAATCTATGTTTAATAAAACTGGGGGAAAGCTACTTGAGAGAGGTCTTTTACACATGAGACACCTTGTCATTAATATCAATTCTGGGAAAGAAATTTAAAAATGAAGAATGCTTATAGTGTAATTTACTACTACCCTAGTGAGAACAGAGAAGTTACATCACGTAGTAAAAAGAATACTGAAGTAGGACGATAGAGTGGAATTTTGAGACTATTTGTGGCAATTCATCATCTGTGCTACAAAAGCCTAAAGAATGATTGATAAAAGAATAATTTAGTTATGTGAAAAATACACAAAATACAAAACAGACCTAACTAACATAAGTGCTAGCTTTTTAAAAAGTTGAATGTGAAATCTTTTCATCTTTGGAAATGCCTTGAAGACAGCTCATTTCCTTGCTTCCTCAACTCTCCCATCTCCCAAATGCTGCTGGTAGGTAGCAGATGGTTGGTTAGCCAGTGCAGGAAACGCAGCTGCTGAGTTCTATTTTGCCCCCATCGTTAGCATGATCCAATCTACAGACTTAGAAATGTTACTGAAAAACAGAAATAAAAAAGAAATGATAAAGCTGAATTATATTTAACTTAAATAAAGATGATTGTAGTAGCTTTAAATGAATCCATCCTCATGCATTAAATCTAATGGTACCAAAAGAATTTAGCAAATTTATTAACATAAATCTTCGACTCAGGATGATTTGGTTGAGGTATCACATAGAAGGGAGCTTCACCGAGGCTCAACATGCTTATCTTGTCCCCTGGCTTAAAGGCAACTATCAGTATTCATTAGCAACTTGACAAGGGTCCCTGATTTTTTTAACTTCTATTTTTATTCATTTATTTGTTTATTTATTTATCTAGTTAGTTTTTTTTCTAAACAGGGTTTCTCTGTAGGTTTACTTTTATTTTTTTAATTTTTATTATTTTTTTTTTTTTTGAGCCTGTCCTGGAACTAGCTCTTGTATACCAGGCTGGCCTCAAACTCACAGAGATCCACCTGCCACTGCCTCCTAAGTCTTCTAAGTGCTGGGATTAAAGACATGCACCACACCTGCCGGGCAAAACAATCTTTTTTTTTTTTATTTTATATACCAATTGCAGTTTCCTCTCCTCCCCTCCTGCCATTACCTCTATCTTTCCCCCACCCCATCTCCCATCCATTCATCAAAGAGGGTGAGGCCTCCCCTGGGGAGTCAACAAAGTCTGACCCATCACTTTGAGGCAGGACCAAGGTTCTCCTTCCTGTATCTAGGCTGAGCAAGGTATCATCCCTCCATAGGGGAATGGGTTCCAAAAAGCCAGTTCGTGCACTAGGGATAAATAATGCTTCCAGGGCCAGTTGGCCCCACAAACTGCCCAAGCCACACAACTATCACCCACATTCCGAGGGCCCAGTTTGGTTTTATGCAGTTTCCTCACCTGTCAGTCCAGAGTCAGTGGGCTCCCATTATCTCGGGTCAGCTGTTTCTGTGGGTATCTACATCATGGTCTTGACCCCTTTGCTCATACAGTGGCTCCTCCCTCCCTATGATTGGACTCCTGGAGCTCAGGTCAGTGCTCAGCTGTGCACCTGTGCATCTGTGCACCTGTGCATCTGTGCACCTGTGCATCTCTGCACCTGCTTCCATCAGTTACTGGATGAAGGCTCTAGGATGACAAAGTAGCCATCAATCTGCTTACAGGGAAAGCCCAAGTTAAGGTACCCTCTTCACTACTGCTTGAATACTTAGCTGGGATCACTCCCAATTCTATTTAAGTATACTGACACTTAGAAAGGAAGTAATGGGCATTACGAAGTAGCAAGTCACAAAGAGCAACTAAGGCCAGGCCACAGGGCTCTCATTACAGGAAGGAACAAATATCACAACAGCACTTACCAAGAAGAGCTCTGTTGAGCAGAACCAGGTATTTCACAACTAAATGAATGCTCGGCTGGTCAGAAGAAACACTACTACTAATACATCTGCGTACAACTGAATGGAGCTAGTTTCTTTTCAATACTTCCTTCTAGTCTCCCATGGAAACAATGTAATTTTATCTCATTTGCCCAAGATACAATTAAGACAGAGTACACTATTCTAAATGGTGTGTGTGTGGGAGGGGGGGAGCTCAAGTAAATAAGATGGAATCTTAAAGACTCAGTGGGGAATGGGGTAGCCAGATGCCTGGCTCATTTTAACAATTATTCCCATTTGTTCCAATATAGATGTAGTAAACCAAGGTCAATGAGTAGAGCTCAAAAAAATTTACAGTGCCTTGGGCGCATTAATGAGCCCAGTTTAAGAGGGCTGTCTTTGTCAACCTGAGTAATGATAACCCATGTTGATACTGTATTTTCAGGTCATGGGAATAACTACAAAATCGCGGATGAATAAGAGCTTCAGCGTCTCCATAAAATGATCACTACAGGAGGAAACCAGCATTACACCTGGAAAATGATGTGTACTCAAAAATGCTACTAAATCCCAAAGGCAAAGGCCCAGAATATCCCACAGGGCAGGTGGAAGGCTGCTTTGTAACTGGCTACTATGCACGTGGGTTTACACATCAGTGTAAAGGGAACGCCTGTATTCTTACCCACTGAGTCATTCTTTCAGAGTGTAAGCAGAAATGCTGGCACTTACCCTGGACTGAAGTCACACCTTTTATTCTCATGGATTCTCACATTATTAGCTTTACATTTTAAGAATGATCTTCTAACGGTGTTTAAAAAGAAATAAGTATTGATAAAAATTTATCTTCAGTGTTTATGGCTTTGTGGTGTTTTATAAATTCATCTGTAGTATTTTTAAACCCAAACTGCCAGCATGAAGTCACTTAACAAAGTGATTTAACTTAAAAGCGTGTTATGTTGAGCTATTTTTTAAAACAGCACCCATTCTGTTTTACAAAGAATATAAGCCTTTGCCCTCAATTTATGAAGTCCCGTTCGGCCCGCAAGCAATTCTAATGAAAATAGCTTGCCAAGAAACATTTTAACTCATTATCAGTAAGTAAGTTTTCAGTTTTGCCTTGAATCACAAAGCACAGGAGTAATTAAAGGTTAAAACTAACTTGAGGCTCTTTATAAAAAATATTGACTGCAGAATAAGCCTCATAAAGTAACATAAAAACCTGGACACCGCATATAAACTAGTGGCTCCCTGACAGTTCTCATGCCAGAGCAAATGTGAAGTGGTTGTGAGCATTCAAAGAGCTGTGTACATTCAGGAATACTCAGAAAACCACCTTTTAGTCCTTGGTCATTCACTTCCTCTATAAAATAAAGCATCCCAGATGTCTTATCTCGTCTCAATCAGGAAACACAATATAACAGTTTTGGGGAAAGGCATGTGAACTTCACATGAAGTACTTGAATAAGAACTTTCTGAAAAAGTATACATAGCTGACTTACTTTTTGGAACTAGTTTCAAAATTTAAGGTACCAAGTATTAAGACAGCGTATGTGGCTCACGGTCTCTAAAGGTGCTTGCTTTATCCATTTTGCATTGCATCCATTTTATTGGATTATAAAAGCTTACATTACAGTACTTCCCAACGTTTCCTAACAAGGCCTGTGTGTTTTAATTAACCCAAAGAATTGTATCAATTTTGACTATTAAAGTGTTAAACTCACCTCTGAACTCTGCAAAGAACCCACTCCATAACTTACACAAACCATCCATTATCCTTTCCTTCTTAAGGTATCTAAGTCATTAAAATTATGGCATTTAGGCCAAAATCAGCCTGCCTGCAATGAAAGGGATTCTACTGGGAAAACAACAAAATCTATGCAATTATTACCTACTGTTGCTTATGCTGTAACCAGAGGCAAGCAACCATTCTTAGACCACATGGCCTTTCAAGTCTAAGGTTTACTATTTACATCTTTACAGAAATTCTTGCACTTTCACTTAAAAAATGGAAAACATTAAAAAAAAAGACTGATTTTATTTGAATTACAAGATAATACACACCTTCCTGTTTGATCCAAAGATATCCATTTTGGCCCACACATAAAACTATAAATGTGTACACTATGAAATCGACCTCCAACACTGCTTCCATGAATTCTTTGAGACAACTTTATGAAAGCAGAATGGAGACAGCAGAGCACTGTTCTGGACTGAAGTCAATACCTACACTGTACAAAACTCCTGTAATGGCAGACATTCCCCAGGCTTTTTTAAAAGATTCAGCAGCACAACAGTATTTAAGATACGCAGAATCTGTTTTCAGACACTGAATTCTGGGACCTTACTGGGCATCTAAAGATTTATTGACTTCCTCCTGGTCACTCTTTCCTATTTATTTTCATTGCAACTTAAGCGTGCAGTTTTTCACTACTCAACCAAATTGTATATTCACATCTCTTAGACATAAGGATCAAGTTTTTCAACCACCGTAGATCTAGAGAGCAGTGGGATAAACATCTCAGGTACGACTCAGGTACTTGTTTGTAGAAGACAATTTATTGTCTAGTTATTAAGAAAAAAAAAAGGTAAGAAATGTGTCTATTTTATTACTATTATTTGCATGTATAAGTTATAATAATAGCCCAAGTTCTTTTTACAGCCAATTTCCATAAATATTAAATTACCAAAAGCAATGGTATTTGCAAAGTTTTCAAAATGATCCTTAAGAGTTTTATATCATTTAGTAGAAAAATAAACTAGGCAAATACATTTATTAATTTAGGCAATGTTTCCCAATAAAAATGTAGAAATATTTAAATTTACATATTACAATGAACCAACACAAAGTCAAAATCCACAATTACACACTCATAAAAAAAATCTCAACATCATCTTCAGGACAAGCAGTTTCTGTACAGGATTTACAGACATCTAAGCAGTCTGAGTCTTCAGTGTGCGACGGAGTTCAGAGGCTCTGCTCGGATGTTCCCCAGGTCGAGCGCAGAGTCCGTCTCCTCGTCAATTTCTCCAATGACCGCTCTATTATTAGCATGGGAAAAAGAGTTAAATAATGCTGAAATAATCTTCCATGCATTTCTACAAGACCATCAACTACTGCATCCTATTTCATTCGTCCAAACATGTGGTCCTGTGAGAGAGCGGTACAAACACGAACCACTTCCTAACTCTGAAAGGCCGTGTAAGTCACGACACTCAGGAACCGATGTGAAGGTGGAGTAACAGGAACCAGTAGTAAAGAGATGCTGCAAAGTGTTGAACACCGGATCTTGCGAAAACTCATGGCTGATCCACTGCATTTTATTTACAGCCAAACAAATGCCCCCGCGGGGCAACTGCAAGCTACGAACAAGACAGGAATCCTTAAGATTTTAAGGGTTTTCACAAGCTCGTAAAAGCAGGTTCCAGGCCCAGCAGGCCTAGGGTGAATGTTCAATTATGGTATCTTTGAACAGACAGGAGGCACTCTTACAGAGGAACGAGCCCCACACCAGTACGGCTGTGGGCAGAGGATAAGAACCTCTGCTCTGGCTCGTGCTTTACAACTCACATCATAATTTCTCCTACGTCATCTCCACAGAACATTTCATGAATCATAAACCCAAATTTGATTAAGGATTAATCAACCTACTTCCCAAATAAAGACTTCAAATAAAGTTAAGAGAATAAAGCATATATCCATTTTAAGATAAATTTACGGTATCCACTAATGAATTAAACTTAGTCTACTAAATGAATGAAGTATCCCTATCATCTTACATATCCCTTCAAACCACCCAAAATTACTCTATCTTTTGCTGTCCTGCAGTCATATTTTGACTCTTCATAGAGTTCTAGAAACATTTAAATAAAATTTAAATTTTAGCTATGTAAGCAGGTTAGACCTACAGCACTTAATACTTGGGAACCTGAAGGAGAATGAAGTCAGTCTGGGTTACATCTTTAAAAGAGGTTGGGGGAGATCACCAAAACTAAAAAACAAAAACAAAAGGTCCCCAAAACTCCAAATTTAAAATTTAGTTCCTTGGTCACCAGCTACTTTTCAAATATCACAGCTACTCAAAGCAAGTAGATATAATACTGGGAAATGTTGATACTTAAGACATCCATCATCAGAAAAAGATTATTTTGAATAGCACCACTCAAAATGGCTGCAGTCTTTCTCAAATTGCCTCCTCTAAGATATTCTCAAATTAGATTAAATTCAACCAGACAATGGGTTTTCACAGGACATGTTAAGTATATCCACTTCACTAAAAACAGCTAAATGAACCTGAATTATTCAAAAATAGCTCAAACAGGAGATTTTTAAAAAGATTTTCCAAAATGTTAAAAAGTTTCTTTAAGGAACAATTTGGTGTTCCTTTCTGGGCGTACCCAGGCCACTTTCCTATTAGTATGTACACACACTACATACACACACAAACACAAAACACACACACTAGTGGTTTAGGCTACTCAAAGGCTGTGATAAAAGGTGGATCTAAAATTCAAGGTCAGTCTAAGCAACTTTGGAAAGCCTGGTCTCAAAGTGTAAAAGAAAGAGAGCTGGAGAACACAGCAGTGACAGACTGCCTGTTCTGCACACACAAGAGTCGAGGTTCAAAGGCCAACTCTCAATTAAGTAAACACAAATGAGGTCTCAGTAGGTAAATGTTTGGTTTGTGAAGTAACGACTTCAACATAAAAACTATAAATCAAATATAAGATAAGCTATATCTACAAAACAGATGAATGCACAATTCTATTATATATGGATGACATCATATAAGTTGGGGAAAATCTCTCTTCCACAACACAAGCACACCAGTAGTGAGAACGTAACTTCAGTAAAATGACTTATTTTACTTACACGTTGTCACCTCTCACAATGTATAATCCTAATACGACTTGTTCGACTCCTTGCGAAGAACTGAATACCCTCTCGTGGCTTTCGTCCAAAATCAAATTAATGGTCTGGTCAAAACCTTTTAGTGTTCCCTGAAATAAATAAATAAATAAATTATACATATACATACATATACATACATACATACATACATATATATGTATATATACATATATTCTGGTTCTGAATTTGTAGATCAAACTTAAAACCATTTCAGCTGTCAGCTATGTACTCATGTCTTCATGTACGCCCACGAGCAAACACAATGTCTCTCCAGTGCAGAAGTAGCCCATGACACAGACCTTACCTCTTACCTGTTTTATGATGGGGTAAACCTGTACAAAGCCGACTATTGTACAGCTGCAAAGGACAGCCAGGCACTAGTATTTCCAAGTAAGGAAACTCACATAGTCCGGGAACTAGCACTGTACAATAGAGCAGAAACTAAAACAGGACACGTTTGAGAGAAAATGATTTACTTTTTTAACTTAATAATAAGGAGAACTACAAACCAGCCAAATAACAGTTCACTGTATGTTACTTCTTAGTGAAAGGCACTGGATAGAGGAACCCACTACACAAATCACCTCGACTTTCCTTCACCACGGTGACAGTACTGTGTTTTCCTCATTTCAAATAACAAACCTACCTGATGCTCCAGAAATCAAATCATGGTTCAAGATTTTATGGACAGTAAATAGTACAGAAAAAGAAGACAAGCTCCAGAGCCAGATCACAAAGTAACAATGATATTCTGTTATAAACAGCACTTTTCAGAAATTAGTCTAAAAATATACACAAAATCACATGGTAGCTACACCTTGCTGCTAATATTGTAACTTGTATGCATGTATTATTGAATTCTCTTAATATTACAAAAGACATATATAGAACTGAAATAATAAGAAACTAAAGTTGAAGGAAATAATCAGGAATAATTGTGTAGCCATAGCAAAATGTAATATCACAAATAAGTTTCTAAAGAAATATCTTATTTTGGACTTTGCTGGTTAATCTCTGGGTTCACCATTAAACTCCCATGTTCTGAAAGCCATAATCATAAAAAATCAAAATGAACTAAAAAGAAACTTGGAATCTAGAAATTGAGAAGAAAAACAAATGAGATTATTTCCTATAGCAGTCAACCAACGGCAGTTATCATAAATCCCTATAAAAGTCCTCTTGCCTTCATTACATATACAAAAGCTTTATCAGGTGACTACGTGATAAAGACAGAACTACTGAATGTCAACACAATGGTTCTGTTTAGATTTTTCTATAGGCATTTTCTAACAGAAATAAGAAATTTATAAACATGAGGTTTTCAAAAATCATCTCTTGCAAATTACCTGTTAACAGCAACAGACTTCTTGCATGTTGAAAGTAGCATATTCCTAATGACCCTTTCCTAATTGTCCGGCTGACAAAATTCAGACTGTGCACTCACCACCACTACCACAACCTACAGAAAACCTACACACTAGCTTCCTTTATTAAGAACAAGGGAAGTAACCTTGGTTTTGGAATAAAACACAATTTACAACACTTTATAGTTTTGTTACTTTTTATACTGAATATCTGGAAAAGTAATTCTTTTTTTCTAAGTTTGGATCCTCATCTATAAGGTAGTAACTCTTCACAAGGTTGTTTGCAAAGTAAGGAACACAAAAATTCCTAGCACAGGGCACATGCATCTAGTCTACGGCAGTCTATCCCTTGGACTGGGATTGCTCACTAAGGATTAAGAAGAATCATAAGAACTGAGAAGAAAAGGAAGTGGTTGAAGAGATGGCTCAGTGGATCAGAGCATATACTGCTCTTCCAAAGGATCCTTCTTAGCATCCACACAGGGCAGCTCACAACTGCCTGTAACCCAGCTCCAGTAGATCTGACAAACGCTTCATACCCCAGTGGTTTCAGAAACTAAATTAACTATGGCTTCACTGGGGTATGATCTTTGGGACCCGTGCCTCATCTACTATCTCTGTAGTATTCCTTGCAAGACTAATTTAATCCCATGTTTTCCTTATAGGTTTATTTTTACTCCTGTTTATGTGTGTGTCTGTGTGAGTGTCTGCCATGCATGTGGGGTTATACTACACAAGGAGCAGTCAAGAAAGAGGGTCTGTCAAACTAGCTGAATCATAAGAACACTAGAATCTAGGTTATATTGTGTTACGTGAACATTAGATCAGAAATGGTACTTCAAATACACCCTCAAGAAGCCCACAGGAAAGAGGAAAACGAAAATGCCACTCACCACAATCATTCTCCCATCAGAAGTGATAACAGCAACAGTTCCTGAGAACCGAGTTAAGGACAGTATTTCTTAGAGATTACCAACTGAAAACTTTCAGCCTGGTAAGGAAATGGTTTCAAATTACTTAAAAAAGAAAAGAAAAAAAAAGTGGGAGAATTAAGTTTCAACACAGCCGCTGCTCATAAGGGCAAAAGCTTCTTTAAAAAACTAGTTTCAATTCTACCTTAAAAACGCCTTTAATCCCAGCACTCGGGAGGCAGAGGCAGGCGAATCTCTGTGAGTTCGAGACCAGCCTGGTCTACAAGAGCTAAGAGCTAGTTCCAGGACAGGCTCCAAAACCACAGAGAAACCCTGTCTCGAAAAACCAAAAAAAAAAAAAAACAACGGTTCATCAAATGGGAGAAGGGCAGAGAGTCTGTGACGTTTGACCCTGGTTTAAACAACAAGGGTTTCAATCTGACACTGAGCAAGACAATCCCTTCCCTTCTTAGATCCATTTCTTCACCTCTGAAATAAAAATTGGATGCGTTCTTATCAACGCTGCATCATTTTAAGCATGTTAAGGCCCTTCTGATCCAAGACCTGGTCATAACTGCTGCTATCAAGTTATAATCCTTACATCATGAAAAGTTCTCTGTACTTAACTTGTTTCTTCTTTGTACATAGACTCGATGCACTGTTTCCGTCCTGACTTTAAAGCAGAAGTTCTAATCTAAATCTTCCACGGGCTCTGGAAGGCCACTTGCGTCTCACTAAACCCCAATACAACTACAAGCTTTCTTTTAACGCCATCGCACAGACAGTTAAAGTGGAGGCATGGGGCCCGAAACTCAAATTAGAGAACCATCTTTCTATTTCTATTACTTCCGAACAGCAAGCCTGCGAGTACCTACACATTGATAACCTGAGGAAAAAACTTCACCTTATTCCCAATGCTGGAACACACGAGCCTTAGGGAATCTGGAACTACAATGGGAAGGCTACTTGCGGGAAACTTCTAACGACACTGGGGTCTGTGATGTGCACGGAAAAGCCCCGGGTCCGTGCGCAGGACCCCACCGCGGACCCCGCCCCCGGCTTCCCCGGCCCCCCGCCGCGGCCTGAGCCGTCGCAGCCCCCGCCCGAGGATACGGTTGATGTAGTTCTCCAAGGCAGACGTCATGCTGCTGGGCCCGGAGGTCCCGGGAATTAAAGACGAGCCGGCAACAAGGAGACGAGACGCCGCCGGCTAGGAACACGTCCCGGTTCGCGCCCGCTCGTGGGTAAAAACACCGCGAGACGTGCGAGGCCTTAGCGGCAGCCAATCACGAATCAGGAGGAGCCGACCAAACAGGAAGCGGGGCGGTGCTGAGTAGTGTGCCTGTGCTTCCGCCGGACTTCCGGGTAGCGGTCGCTAGGAGGAGCCAGACAAAGGCGGGAGAGGCGGAAGTGGGGGGTCTCGGGGGAGGTGGGTGGAGGGAGAGGCGGGAGGGCGCGAGCCGGGGCGGTGGAGCCGCGGGGAAGGGAGCGCGGTCTTTGCTGAAGGCGGTGTGCGAAGACACGCCGTTCCCGGAGACGCCCGAGAGAAGACGTTTCCTCGGCGACTGGGGGAGGAGGAGAGCTTCTTTGTTCTCATAGGCAACGTGGGTGCCGGGTAGAGGGAGCTCTAGCTCTCCAGCAGGAGCCAAAAAAATTCAAACAGGCGAATGGCGCAAAGTACAAAGTGAGCATGGTGTAGCCACATGATGTACGTTTTCGGAGAGTCCAACTTGTTTTTTGTTTTATGTTTTTTTTTTTAAGATGCTTGTGTATTCGGGATTTTAAAAACGAAATTTATAAAAACGAAATTCAAATAGGTAAAGGTGTATGAACCTCCCTTAGGACGTAGATGGTCACCTTTTCATTGATATACAGGCTCAGCATTCCCTGAGGTGAAATTCTATGAGTAAAGAACCGATTAGAAAAAACGTGTAAAATAAGCACAAGACGGGGTTCTAATTCTGTCCCTGTTAATTGATGTCCCTGTTGTAAGTCACTGCAACTCTTCTTGACCTGAGTTTACTTAGATCCTACCATAGCTATGTCATTTTAAACGTCTTGATAAAACTCTCCCGCCCCCGTGTCTGTCTGTCTCTCTCTCTCTCTCTCTCTCTCTCTCTCTCTCTCTCTCTCTCTCTCTCTGTGTGTGTGTGTGTGTGTGTGTGTAACAGGAGGTCTTGCTCATGCTACTCAAGTTCTCAAAATCTACATCTCCAGACTCCTCCCCCGTCTATTTCCCCCGGTGGCATTTTCACTTAAAGATTGGAAATGAGGAATTTGCACACCTAATAATGGGAGGGGGAAAAGCAGTATTTTGTTGTTGTTTTTAAAAGTCTTTCTTAGCTGAAGAATTACAGCTTTGGAATGATTTAACTCTCTGTGCCTTGATTTTACTTTCTGGTAATTGAAGAAAATGACAGTTATTGAGTAATCAAACTTGGAGAACTAAAAGAATTCCTTTAAAGCTTTCTATACAATTATTATAAAAATATCTAGCTGTTATTATACAAGAAAGTAGACTGTATTGTAAGTATCTTTTTTCATCACTCCGAAACTTATTCTAATGTTTTGTGTACTGTCATTTTCTAATGGGACAAAAAGAATGGCAGGCATTCTGCATGCTTTATGGAAGGGGGGTATGTGGTGTGTCACAGTATTGCAAAACTTACAAAGAGAAGATTTAAGGTAGGGCTTGAGAAAAAGTACAAACACACTTCAGGGAAATGGACTGGATGCTATTATTTGGTGAAGCTATGAACTGAAGCTGTCAGGAGCCCCAGTATGAGTTCTTGGTTCACTGCAGTAACAATAGGAAGTGAAGGAACTGTAGCCAGCTTGAACATGGTAAACATGGCTCTGGCAGGCCTTACCCTCTTCCTGTTCCCTCTGCCTTGCTAAAAACATTAGACTACATTCCTAAAGCTAACCCCCCAGGTCCATTCCTTTATTTGGCCACTTCCTCCTCCTGAGGCTGACTACTAAGGTTCAGCTAACAAAGTACTGAAGTGGAGCAATCAAAAGCCTCCTTTGACCCACCTCATTAAATGCCCAATGAAAATTAAGCACCTCATCCTAACAGGGCTTCATTACCTTTATAAATCACCATTTTCCTATGGGCCACATCTGTCTCCTCTCTATCTAGAGACAGTCTTTTGTGCCACTCCAATACCCTCTACCTTTCTCCATTGCCTCATTTTTCCCCCTCTTCTTTCTTTCACCTTCTTTCTCTTCCTCTATCTCCTGTCCTTTATCCTTGCCCTCTGTCCCTCTGGGGCAAATAAACCTCTTTTGTATGGAGAACTTGGTCTTGGGGTGTCTTGAGCCAATTTCAAGGTTCCCTCTAAAAATGATAGAAAAAAAAAACGTGATCAGAAGATGGAGGATAAGAAGGGAAATGCTGTATCCGACAATTTATGGCTAGCATGGTAATAGCAGTTGATGAAACAGAAGGATAGAAATAAAAGATAACAACTGTTAAAGTAGATAACCTATAGAACTGTACAAATGTCAGTCACGCAACAATATATAGCCAGTATTTTTAAAGTGTGTGTGTGTGTGTGTGTGTGTGTGTGTGAGAGAGAGAGAGAGAGAGAGAGAGAGAGAGAGAGAGAGAGAGAGAGAAACAGGTATGGAAGTCACAGGAAAAACATTCAGAACTCAATTCTCTCCTTCCACCTAGAGACCACAAGAACCAAGTTCAAGTACAGTAAACATAATATTCTGCTGAGCCATCTCCTCAGCTTCTACCCTGTGTTTTCAGTTGGTTTTGTCTCCATGAGACGTTGTGTTACTGTCATAGCTTTTGATTGCAGTCAAGCTCCATTGGGCATCACTGCCATTGCCAGTATTACCCATGACAAGTACTCAGTAATGTCCCTGAAGTGAAGCATGTGATCTAGATAGAGGGTGCTTTATGACCAAGCGTCCTTAGGCCCACACACTTTGGCTCTTTCCTCAGATTGCAGGTCAGGACGATTACAAAGCAGGAGAAGCAGACTCTTTCTGGTGCATTTTGTTAATTTCTTCTTCAGTGTTACACATTAATGTTATTGTTGTTCAGTTTCTCTGATGAGAATTGGCAAATTATAGTATGTAGCCAGATCTTTTTGGTAAACACATTTTGCTGTCACAAAACCACAACCATTAATACCTATGCTATATGTGGCCGCTTCAGGGCATCAGTAGCACAATTAAGCAATTCCAGGAGACATGGTAAACCTAAAATATTTACTAACTAGCATTGGGTAGAAAGTTTGAAGATATCACTTCTGACCAACAAATAAAATTCTCAAGATTTTATGGCTGTATTACCAAACCCACTGCTCTGATCTGTCTCAATGCTATAAAGCTTGCTTCTATCTGGCTTTGAGATAAAATTTCTCCATTCTTTTGAACCTAGTATCTTGTGCCAAGAGTAAATAAACACATCAAGCTAGACTTTGAAAGAATGACTGTGTTGTTTCCTCTCTCCTTCCCTGTTATTGTCATTTCAATCAAGAACATGCAGATATTTTTCCAACTCAATTATCATGTAATGACATTTTCTCATGCATGAATACGATAGAAAAGAATTATCTTTATTTTAGCTTATGCACCAGAAAGCTAAATTAAAATCGCAAATCATATCATAACAGTGCAATGAATTAGAACAATTTCATAGCAGACATTTAAAACACAAATAAGTAATTCAAATTTAAGACAGCTATTTGTGGAGATTATTAACGTTCATGTTTCAGGTATTCGACACCTGAGCTCCCCCTGTGTCTCTCAGGAATTCTGTATAATTTAGGTGGGAGAAAAAACTCAGTGTATCATGCATCCATTTTCTTTGAGTTTTCTTGTAATGACAGTCTTGGATTGCGCTTAAGACTACTCTAGACTTTTACTTAGGTACTAGTGTTGCAAACAACAGTACATACAAGCAACCTATTCTATTATGCACATTAGTCTAGCAACAGCAAGTTCATAATATGATTTTAGGCAACAGCAGAGATTTCATTCAAAAGTTCTTGATGCTGTCAGTCGTGACTCCATTTTTATCCTTGTAGATCTATCTTTCCCTGGGAGCTAGACTTGTTTTTGTGCATAGCCTTTTTTATCCAATGACACATTAACTGATCTCATGTTCTTCTCAAACTGTCCACAGAATCTTCATGGAGCTTCTATAGAACAAGGAAACTTCATTCATAGGAGTTTTTAGGATATTGTTCTTGTTTACTTGTCTGATATATGGCAAATGCCCATTTCTGAACCAGTCCCTTTGCTTAGGTTCAAAGATCTCTGTCCGAGTTTAACCTATGAATAAGGGCTGTCTACACAAACCACATGACTGCTTTAAACAGTGAATCGATGAGTTCTAAAGAAAGCCAGATTCCTTTCTGTTGGAAATAAAAAGGAACAGAGGCTGGGGAAACAATCAACAAATACCTACTATTAATAAGATATATTTAAATCTAATTGAATATAGGTCTATGGAGGCTAGTTTTATGTCAACTTGACACAAGCTAAAGTCATCTGAGAGGAGGGAACCTAAATTAAGAGCTTCCGTAAGACTGTAGACGAGCTTGTAAGGCATTTTCTTAATTAGTGATTGAGGTGGAAGGGCCTAGTCCACTGGGGGTGATGGCCGTCCTTGGGTTGGTGGCCCTGGGTTCTATAAGAAAGCAGACTGCGCAAGCAGGGGAAGCAAACCAGAAAGCAGCACTCCTCCATGCCATCTACATCAGTTCCTGCCTCCCTGTTCCTGCCCTGTTTGAGTTCCTGACCTGACTTCCTACATTGATGAATTATGCTGTAGAAGTGTAAGCCAGATAAACCCTTTTGTCCCTAAGTGGCTTTTGGTTGTGATGTTTCATCATAGTAATAGTACCCTAACTAGGACAAGGTCTAAGATTAAATAGTTAAGTAGTTAATCAGTTTAGGTATACTGGGTTGAATCATATTCTGTGTGCATGTGCATATACATGTGTCTGTAATACCTACAGTATTACTAAATTATTTTGTCTTTTATATTAACTGTGGTTGAGGTTTTGTACATAAATAGAGCTTAGCTTTACTCTGGAAATAAAGATATAATATACAGCATACAATTTCTAGCCTTTTAGCGGGAAGCACTAAGGTCTTATCATTGGGAATATAATAGCTATCCTTGGAGACTCAAGCCCATGAACATTCTGGACAAGAGAATTAGCCACAGTCACTGCTGACTCAGGGCACAGAGAAGCTTTCCTCCAGTATCTAAGGCAGTTGTTCTCAACCTTC